TATGGGTAAGGTAGAATCACGATTTCGCCGGGAAGGATTCCTCGCAATTCAAATGCTCGCAGGTAAATGGAACCATGGAGCAAGCAAATTCGTACGACTCGTCCGGCCCCATCCCTTCCCTTTTCAAGGGTAAGATAGAAATACTCGTTAATGGCCCTATCGGCGGTTTGTTTTGGTTCTTTTTCAGTTTCGGTCAGCTCGGCATGCAAAATTTCATCATCGACCGCTGTTACCCCACCGGTCTGATCGAGGGTTGTTGCTTCAAGATTTCGATTCGGAAAATGGAGAGGAAGCCATCGATAAATAAAGATGCAATAGAAGAGGGAAGTGTGTAGTAGGTGGGAAGGTCGAAGAGGTTTCATAGCAACGGCAAAGTAAAAGTCGGATACGGCATTGGAATGCTCGACTTGAGCGTCTGTGGCGAAACGAGATCCAACATGACTTGGACACAATGAACAAATCGAAATCAAAGAAATGAACTCCGTGATGCGGATCCGATGTTGTCAGACAGACAAAAACCATGGCGGGAAGATTGAGACAAGGAGCTGGCATTCCACTCGTTTTGCATTAATGATCAAGTTGAATCACCGTTTAATAAATTTATCACTGCTTATCAGGTGATATTGGTTCTCACTTGTCGTCGTCTTCCTCGTCTGAATTAAACTTCTTATCATTGGCTGCGGGTATATTCCATTAATTGAACCTATGAGCTGTCCTAGCCGTAGACAGTCAAAAAAAAACAACGGTCTACGTCTGATCCCTCCCCTATTAAATGGAAGGATCCTAGTCCCTAATTAATATTTCAAAAAGTTATCCATTTGAGGTGAATGGATCACCAGTGATAGCAAAAAGCGGCTACGGACCCTCAGAGTCACTTTGCCCACTTATTATATGGACTGGTTAGCCGTTCTTCTGATACGGTCATTCAAAGTATAGAGTTGGGCTCAATCCATGAAATGCCTGTGGGGCGGAGGGCAAACCACCGCATTCATGCGTTCAGTGCGCGGTGTAATTTTGAGGATTTCTAGCGGTTTTTTCATTTTTTCTATCGCCAGGGCAAAAGTGCAGTAATCTCAAGTGGTGCTGCTTTTCACTAACACGGTCAGGGGATAAACTCCTGGGTCGTTCATCGTTCAAGTCAATCACCCTACGGGGTCGGTTAAATCTTATCAGTTTATCCCGGGAGAATAAGCAGTGACTTCTATAACGGCTGCGTGCCCCGCCAAATCGTTAGCAAATCGTGAAACAGAAAACTGCCATTACAATTCAAAATGGAAGCAGAATGCGTGGCTCATCTCAAAACGGGATGGGCCAACGCTGAGCGCTTTGTCTTGGTCCATCCTTTTCAACGCTGGTGGATCAAACACTACCCCTTTCATATTGGAGCGCTATAACCTATACATACAGGGGGAGGGCAAAAAAGAGTCACTCTCATTCACATTCAAAACAGAATTAATTACACTTTGCCAAAACCAAACCGAATGAGCTCAATTGCATATTGAAGAGCACATTCTATTCTATCAAAAAATTACATAGGGCCTTCTACACCGACGACATCAGAAGATTTTCCCACGGAAACATGGTTCACGGTACGAGCTCAACGGTCGTCGAGAAACCATAGACGATTACGACGTCTGAAACGCTGGTCAAAAGCCATTTGCATAGTCAGAGCTAGTGTCTCTAAGAAGCCATTCACCAGTTATCCGATTGAAGAAATTATGTAGCAGCTTCAGAATGGAGCGATTATGGTAGGCCCTTGAGCTCGACGGTGATGACAGATGACGTCATATTCTGGAGACGGTGAAGGCAGCGAAGGTGGGCCTGATTCTGCTTATGGGGGACATCTAAGGAATACGTATAACTCCCAATAACAGCGGCATCCTTTGCGACGAAAAGTTTGATGATATGCGCCATGGCAAAGTGACTCTTTTTTTGCCCCCCCCCCCTGTATACACCTACTCAATCATGAAATGAAGACGGGTGATATTACTTAAAGGCACAACCCAGGCAGAGTTCGTGTGAACGCTTCTCTTCGGTCTGTAGTATAGACCCCTAGAGGACAATCACAAATGTGGCGTTCTCGTGCACGGAAACCACCGATAAGAGCGCTTGGGCCTTGCAAAGTAAGCTGCCCAAGCTGCAGACTTTTTTCTCTTATCAGACTGTTGTCTGGCGATCTCTCATCTGTAGCGCTCTCTCGCCCCATACTCTCCTCTCCGCGCTTAGTCTCTCATTCCCTTAGCACAGCCGATTAGGAAGGTGAGTGAGCCCTTAACCTAAGCGTTTTTGACGGATTCTTTTCCTTTTTTCTTTACTGCCGGCCCACTTCCCACCAATACATTCGCATTCGTGTACAAGAGCCACACCAATGTGATCCTGGGGCATGCCTTTAATACGTTGTCGCGTATTGCCTTAACCCGGAAGACACCGTGTGCATATGTAACCGCGCAAACAGACTGTTCCGACTCTATCTAAAATCTAAAATAGTTTTTGGAGATGTCAGCTGGTGTATGTTTGCGGCCATTGATTTGGAGGAGGATGCAACAATAACGTGAGAGGTCGGTGGAGAAGAAACATACCTAGTCGAACGATAGGAACCCCTAAAGGTGCGGAACGTTGCGCGTTCCGCAGCGGATGGTATACTCCCAGCGACTTAGCGCGGCCAGATAGGCGGCGCGACAGGAGAAACGCACGGGTCAGCAGATGAGTCACAACGTGTACTTTAGCAGTTTAGCGTCAAGTCAAATACATAGAATGTGCTATAGTACGTACCACATCGCACAACCGCGCTGCGACTCGTCCACTGACTTGTCTGAGTCTCTGCCTTCTCGCGCACTCAACAGACCTGATGTCGGGTACCAGGGCCATACCCGCGCCGCTCGCGCCGCTGTACGCCAACAGCTCCATCGTCTAACTCTACCCACTTATCTGAGAGAGAGCGTCGACACTGAGGAAGGCGACACCGATGAGAGCACCAATGCGGAAATCAGTGGGCAAGAAGGGGGCCTTTTATTGGGTTTTGGGCTGCTTCTCATGACTTTTTTCTTCACCCCAGCACCACCTACCACCTCTGCCTTGATTTCTTATGAGCTGCCTTTTTATCGCAAATTTTGCCTTCAAAACAAAAAAAAACCGAGGGAGTACAAGGCTGCGCACATGACAGCACCTTTGGCACACCCTCAGTCCTCACTTCCTGGAACCTGCATTTTTGAAGAATTGAGTACGTAATTCTATGTGTACATGGCGTTATAACAAGAGACCGCACACCATGAAAATTCTGCATTTGAAAAAAAAGAACCAGTTTCTGCAGTTGCGTTTCTGAGCGAGAGGGGGGGGGGGCTGATGCAGGTCTACTCATTCAGTGTGCAAATAACATTAGATCTCAAATAAATAGCTTTATTGAGCATTATGTAGAGGTATAGTTAACATTTTCTGAGGTCAGTTTTCACATCGATGTAGTACTTCACGGTTTTTGAACGTAGCTTGCTGTGAGTGTTATCGAAAACAAATTTGTACACACCGGGTTCTTCGGCGAGGATCTGAAAATACTTGGGTTAGCTAGAAAAAAAACTCGAAAACAAAAAAAAAATCAGCCACCAATACCGCCGGTGAACAGTTTAGGGCTCTTCAGCTCACCTCTCCGTCTTCCGGTACGAAATCAGTTTGTAGTCTGAACTTTGGATGAGCCATAAAATCGTCAATATGTTCCGCAACCTTTAAAAGCTTCATGTCATTTGTAGAACTTTACCTCAGTTTTTCGAAAGCGTGAAATAAAATTGCACCTTTTCTCGACCGGGAGCGGCCCGATAGACAGCAAAACCAATATCGTTCGAGTCCAACCGCCACCACCACGTAATTTTTCGCCCAGCCTCGAAACCTGAACAGTTGGAAAGGCAATAATAACGCTGCTTCTTGGATGAAACAAAGTGGTTAGAAACAGCAAGCGATTGCTCAAAAGTTCAAGTGGCCTCAAAATTCACGTCAAAAAAAAAGAACAAAAGGAT